CTATAAAACCAGGCGAACTTCCATAAACCCTTTTATACTTCATTTGCTGCCATATTTTGAGGAGTTAATAAATGCTCTGTCATTGAAGAGCGAGATTGACACTGATGGAAAAGTGGACATCTGTTTGGCTGGTGACCCTGTCACCACCTCTTTAGGACTGCCTGTTGTGTTGGATGCATTGGATGATTTGATCAATGTTCTTAACACCTTTGACAACATAAGCAAAGTTTCTCTTTCCTGGCCACTAATAAAGTTGAATAGGATCCATTCAGGTTCTGTTCTTGCAAGTGGCGAGGAACTTCCTTTTGGAATTGTGAGTAGTATCCTGTTTCTCTAATTGTCATACATAAGTTTACTTTCGTTGCTCATATGTAGGAATTCTCCCAAAAGTTCCTTTATCATTCCACTTTTAACACAATTTCAGGCCACATCAGCATTTGATGGACTTCGCACGTCTAAATGGGAAGAACCAGATGGAGCGAGAGGTAATGTACATCATATTAGAAAATCTTGTGATGTTGAACTATTAATGTTTGATACAGATCCTTCCATTCTGTGCTCTCAATGTACTGTGCTTGGTGTTGTCTTGTTGAATTGAAAAAAATATGAAAATGGCACGTGTTTTGTTGGTGATCATAGACTTTAAGCCCGAGTAACCATGGTTGCAGATTTGGTCTGTTGAACGCATCTGAAAAATCAAGCTTGGAATCTAGATGCCCAAGTTAAATTTTCTTGCATTTCTCAGTTGTTTCTTTGTACTTGGCATGAAACAAATGTTGGATTAATGTTGATGATCCTGTTGAACATATCTGATGTATTTTAACAATGCCTCTCGTAGGTTGCTGGATTGTTTATAAACTATCAGACAACCAGATGCACAAACTAGTGGCATATGATATAATGTCAGCTAATGATGCCCCAGAGAGAGACCCTATGGACTGGTAATATTCTATTAACAACCATCTGGCGCCATGTGAACGATTTCTCTCTGCATTTATTTCATAGTTCTCACAACTACATGTTTGTCGCAAATTTATATGTTATTCGCTTTCATGATTTCTGGTTGTTTTCTTAACAGGGTTGTCGAGGGTAGTCATGATGGTGGTTCTAGCTGGCGTATTCTGGATAAACAAACTTCTCAGATGTTCAAAGATCGTTTTCAGCGTAAATCATATAAGATTAATTCAGATAGTGTCCCATGCAACACTTTCAGGTAAATCCTGTTGATCCAAACCAATTTACATGCACTCCACATTTTAGTTCCTCGTGATCGTTGATCTAACAAGTTATAACATGACAGATTCCAATTTTTGGCTGCCAGAGACGTTCAATCAAATTCATGCCTACAATTGGGTAGCATAGATCTGTATGCAAGCAGCAATTAAGTTGTATAAGAGAGGAATGGTCAACCACACCTTGGTTGCTGACGCACTGTTCCAGACTATGATGCTATTGTATAACTACTTGGTAGTAAATATTTGTCCATGGAGGCAAGCAATCACACAATGCTTTGCCATATGGGTACACCGTATTTAGTCAATCTGTATTCATAATCGCCAGTTGCCGGAGAGGAAATGCTTTAATTTCTTGGCAGTGTTGGTGGTTCAATTTCAGCAAATTTCTTTGTCTTGCCCAGACATACCGCATCAGGCATGTTTGAATATATAGGATCTTGCTGGTTATTTTCACTTCGATTTAGTTTTTATTAAAAGAAATAATTAAATTATTTTTTAAAAAAAACCAATTTTGATTTGATTATTTAAAAAAGAACTAGTTCAAATTGGTTTGATTAATTTTTTTTCAGTTTAACTTAATTTTTTTAATTAGTTTTTCTAGTTTGGATTGTGTTTAGTTTTAAACTTATAAAACTAAAATTTAACTGAAACCTGGTTTTTCAAAATTTTTAATTAATTTAATTAGTTTTTTTTATGGTTTAGTTTTTTAATTATTTTTTTTAGTTTTTTTTAATTAATTTTTTTTGTTCACTAATATGCATGCACAATTTATCATTAATTAAAAAAGAGGGTCGCGGGGGCGTGTGCTTTTTTCCGATTGGACCTCAAGAGGGAGCCACATGACTCGTTTGTGTGTAACATGCCAGGCTAGGCCGGCTCTTGTACCCACGAGCCAAGCTGCAATTTAATCCAATTACTTGCGAGTAACTCTTAGGAACGTCTAGTTGCATTGAATCAAAGGAAGTTCCCATGGATCCTTGATACTGGGGTGCCAAGCAAACAGGCAATGCTTGCTTGGCACAAGGAAGCACTAGTCGACCAGCATACGGTATGTAATTGCAAGTTCATAACAATGTTCGCCTCGAAATGATGGCGACAAAATTATCAACAAGTAGAAATCACTCGGCAAACATATCCAGAATCGAAGGAGCTGCTTTACTAAAGCAGGCAAAGGCTAGAGAGAAACAGCTTAAGAAGACAAGTATCATAACGTTGATTCAACATGGCCCTTTCCGGAACAAACATTTGATGCATTCTTGCAGATAATTCTTGAATTGTCAATGGGATAAACAATGGAAAAATAAAGTTCAGAGATAATAGCAATAATTCAGAGCAACTTCATTCCTTTTCCCTCACATCTGGGATTAGTGATCCTCAATCTTCTTCAGGCTTTTCATGTCTGTTGTTTCCACCCTGTTACAAAAACAAGGCTCGCAAAATTAATGCGGGAGACTAGAGCATGTAACATTTAAAACATGGGGAAACATCTGGGGTTGGATGGATCAATGCTGAATAAAGTGAAATTTAAAGGCTGTGTTTACTTTAGAAAGAGTTTTAAATTTTTTATATCACTTTTCATCTTTATTCTAAAATTATTCATCCAACAAGATGTTTAACCAATACTTCAAGGGGATTGTTGGGATCGATTTTTAAAATTTGATTGAGATTAAATAAAAACAAAACCAAACAAGGGTTCTTGTTGTCTCAAGTAGAGAATTTGAAAAGGAAGATTTTTTGTTATTCCAGTTTTTTATAAAATTGAAAAAAATATGGAGCACGTGTTCCTATAAAACAATGATTAGTAAATATGTTCTCTCTAGTTTTGCTGTTTCTTAGAACATGTTTCTAGAGATCTGGAAAATTATTCACAAGTAAACAGCCAAAGTGTTTCTTTCCTTCATTGCTAAGCACATCATTCCATGGCATGAGGCATTTCATATGAAATAACTGGTGAAAGAAGACATGCACCTCCTTATTTGTTTGTTTGACAGTCAAGACCTAGACTAAGCTATGAAAGCAAAAGGAATAGCATGTCCAGTGCACATGTGACTGATAGTATTTGAACAACTTAACACACTCAGAAATAGCTCCAAATTAAGAAGAAATAACTAAGATGATAATGGTTATCTAAACTCTTAAGTAACTCTCAGTTCATGAAAAATCATTCAAGTTAATGTAAATTCAATCTACAGAACAGAAAATATCAAGCAGGAGAAAATGACATGACCCTCTGTTCTATAAGTGTTTGAAGTGCATAAGGTATAATGCAAAACAAAACTTCACCACACATCTAGAAAATATGAATCCAAAGCCTATTAATTGCATCAAATTAAAAGAAACACATAATGATAAACAGTGTTATTTGAGCATAACATTTTAATTTCAAATTTCAATATTTTGGCAGTTCTTCTAGCCACTAGATTATATTAACATTATGGTTACACAAAATGTAAGATAGACAGAGGTGTATGCTGTGCAGTCAACAATCAGTACAAGAATGGTGCTTCTGATGTATCCAAGATATAAGGCAAAGAATATGGTAATGCCTAATTCACTAGATAAGAGATTAAGTTAGTTGCTGACAGAGGTACATCACAGATGTAGAGATAGAAACTTACGTTGTTCCAAACAAAGCAATCTTTTGAACTTTCGTGATCTCAGAATCTGATTGATTATCCTCGATAAATATTGTCAAGCTGATCAAAATTTATAAGTAAGATTTACTGCTGCAACATTTCATGACAAGAAAGAAAACAAGTGTGTAAATGCAATAACTTTAAGCATACCTGCGAACATTCTGAAACTTTACATATTTTAAGACCACAGGTTTTCCCTGCAAAAGCATAAACCAAGCATAATGGTAATGTAAGAGATTATATCAACATATTTCTCAGCAATTATTTCCTTATCATGAACATCAACTTCGTAGTAGCAGGACAAGAAAATAATTTCCACCTTGAGAGTATCTGGCGATAAAACTATAGTGTCACTTGGAGGGTAGTCATTAACATTACTGCCATAATCAAACCATGCAATAATTGTAAGATAAGAAATATTGCAATTTCTTTCAAAACTTAAATCAATTAATCATTACTAACAATACCTAAATCCCATATGCTCCTTGTTTGAGAAAAGTTTTACTGTCTTTGGACCTGGAGAAACAAACCTTCACATTAGAATGATAGACAAGCACATCCAACCTGTTTCATAGGGACTGTTCTGATGCAATGCAAAACATAGTTTGCAGGTGAAACATTAGAGAAATGCACTTCAGAAGAAAAGTTTATATTAGAACATCAAATACCTTCTTCTTCAGGTCCTTTGATGGCAATAGAATGCAGTTTAACAACTTGATTGAAAGGTACATAGATCAATAACTGCTCATCCGCATCGCTCTCTAGATTCAAACCATCATCTTCTCTATAACCCTAAAATTAAAAAAAGTACAAAAATTATAATTCAATCAACATCATGTTGAAAGAAACAAAAGGGCCAGTTTTCCGTAACAAGAATTTTTTTTTATATATAGCAAAGCCTAACATAACAATAACAACACTTATTAGACCCCAAACTTTGATTGCATGAAACCGAAACACTTAAAGACAAAAGGAGCACTCAAGAAAACTTCATAGAGCTACCATATGGGTTTCCAGTAATTTTTCTTTTTAAATTCAAATCTAATTCTCTTTACATTACTTCAACTAAATTAGCATAAAAGAAGAGGATAGTTACTAACTACACAATCCCTAAATGCTTGCATGCAATACCAAGACTCTAAGAACATAAAAGGTTAATTCTATCATGGCATAATAATTAATAAAATAATTAACGAAGTTGCATTCAAATTTTGTTTAAAAGAAGAAACAAAAAAGTAAAATTACCTGCTTGATCGCATTGGAAAGGGAGTGGCTTGGGCTTTGGTTAAGACATTCAACTCCAGAAAAATCAATAAAGTCCAACAAATCAACCTGATTCATTCACAAAAAGATTCAAGCTTTAATTCCCATATCAACGAATCTCAATAAACCCAGTTCCCAGATTCCAAGAAATGCCACAAATTTTCTCGAAAATCAAACAAAGAGAACAAAAAAAATACTTACTTGGCCTCTTGGAATTGCAGTAGCTGACTCTGCAGCCATTTTTTCTTTTTCTTTTTTGGTACTGCTTGGGTATTTGGCAGGCAAGAAGGAGGGATTGCCTACAGAATAATCACACAAAGAATAGATTCTTTTTCTCCGCTCCTTAGGACAGTGATTTATATTTGCCAGAGGAAGATGGATTTATTTTGACGACATAAAACGACACTGTTTGGTGCGTGTTTGGGTCGGTTTGGGCTCTTAAGTTTAAGGACATTTTATGAGCGTAGCATGAGAACCCGTCTCGGCTCGATAGATCAATATGTAACTTGGTATAGAAATTAAATTGAATTTAAAGAAATAAAGAAAAGAAAAAAATTGAATAACCCGTTTAAAAACCTGAGTTAATTTGATGATCTTATTAACCTGATAAAATCTAGTTATAATTTATTAATTATTTATTTTTTAAGAAAAAATAAACATTGTTTTGTTTATGTATAGGATCAACTTGATGACCCGAATCAAAATCTAATAATTCTATCAAATTTGTGACTCGAATTCTTGAACTGAATGAACCAATAAATCAGGTTTAAGAACTATGCTTAAAAGATCCAAACTGTGCTAGCTGTGTTGCTCTTCAACAAACGAAAAAAGGGCACTTTTTTCTTGCGTCTCAACTCCGAAGGGACTTCCTTGATCAATGAAGGAAGGCCCCATTTGTATCACGGCCCTTCTCTGAAAAGCAATTTATTGTTTTTTATGTATAGAAAAATATGATCAAAATAAAAAAAAAATATTTGATGAGTTGTTTATGAAGAAGAGAGTTTTTTAAAGTTGTTATTATTATTATTATTATTATAAGTTTAGTGCTATATTATTATTACCTTTCTTCAGATAAATCTATCTATTTATTTTTAAAATAAGATGTTTGGAGATGTAATAGTAATTATTTTTTAAATATTTTTTATTTTTAAATACATTAAAATAATAATTTTAAAAAATAATTTTGATATCAGTATATTAAAATAATTTAAAAATATTACTTTAAAATAAAAATAAAAATAAAAATTTTTTTAAAATAAAATATAAAACATGATCAATCAAAACATTCAAAGCACAAAGAATTTTATATTCAATGTTAACATGCAAACCAGACCAAAATCTCTCTTCCTGACCGGCTAATATCCCCTCCATAAAAATAGTTTCCATCTATATAATATTGGATTTATCAGATCCATTATATTTTATTGACTTGCATTATGAATAGTATATTTGCTAAATATTTATTAAAACAAAAGCTAAAACTATCTGAGATTTATCATGCTTATGCTAATAAATTCACGTTATAAAATGACCATTCTATCCTCCTAAAACAAAACCACATGCTTGGCTTAGCGGTAATATGATTTTATTTTGGGATCAATTTGTCATTATCAAAATAATATGGGGCCATCTCGATCACCTCTTATTCTTACCGGACGGTAAAACTAATAAATGGTCCTCGGAAGAAAAACTCAATTAACTTACCACTAGGGTTTTTTCATAATCTTATTTTAATTTGAAAATTAAAATTATTAAATTACTTTTAAACTCAAATATCCTTAGGGTTGTGTCAAGATATTTTTTATTTTATTTTTTTATAGTTAATAAGTAAATCCAAGTGCAATTTCATAATTAAAAAAATATTAAATAGTATTAAGAAAACCTATTAGATCATGCATGGCTGACACGGATTAATACATGAGAGATATCTTGCCTTTCAAGCAAGATTATTATTATTATTATTATTATTATTATTATTTGTTAATTTTATTTTATTTTGTATTTATATTATTTAAATTAACTGGGATTATTAAAATTAGTCAAATCAATAATTAAATCTTAAATTATTTTTATTTTTTTAGTGATATTAACGTCGTCCTATAAAATGTTTTCCATGCCGGAAAAAAATTAGACCGGCCAGCACCATACCACAGTTTTGATCCAGCAACGCTACTAGTAGAGATTCATCATTTCTTCTTAGACCTATCATGGTATCCCATCTTCTACTTTAGCATCATCTTCTCAGTACCTTCACTCCCTAAAAAAATTAAATTCAAATTTTTTTATCCTTTCATTTAGATGATGCTTATGATAATGAGAAATATTATTTTTAAATATATTTTTATATTGAAAAATTTATTTTTTAGATAAGCATATTAAAATAATATAAA